GAAGATTGCAGGGAACACTCGAGACGGAAACGAGAAGCGGATTACTGGCGCATGTTTGAGACACTGAGCCAATGGTTCTTGTACTATCTGCAACCCTAGGGACTTTTGTCCTGCCTTTCTTACTGTTCCCAAAACAAAAAGGCGTAGTGCTGACATTTGAAAAATCACTGCAACGTGTAACCGTTGTGTTCTACTCAAAGAAATTTGAATATGACTGAAGGCAGCAGTTCATACTTATCATCATCGTTAATCTTCAATAAGTTAAGCAGCTTGGCATGGACCGATGGCTCGTTCTGCATTATGCCGACGAAAACGTAAGGATGAGCCCCAGAAATGCAGTAGGAATCAAGTTAGTTTCCGCTGCTTTCAAATAGCTATGCGACAACCCATTACAGTAATTTTTAACGCAGAGGTGGTTGCAGAGATTGCCATTCTGTAAGCAACACATTCCGTCGCCGATAATTGACAAGGACTGAGCAACGAAGCAATGCTTAACCATTTTAGTCACACGTTTTTAAAATTTGGGTTTGACGATACTGGATACGGTCGTTGATGAAGACAACAACGGTCTCAGAGCCGCTCCTCACAAAAGCTTGGAAAGATATCGCGTGCTGACAATAGTCATCAGCGTCACGATAGAGGGGAGGATCGTGAGGGCAGAATAACGGAACCGGAAGTGTGGTGTTAATGCACCTACAAAACAGCACTTGACTGACTGGGATGTCCGAAAATGCATTGCTCCGTTACGACACTTATGTGCTAGAAGGTAACGAAAATAGCCCGCTGGATGACTTAAAAGTACGCGCGTGTATTGTTTGGTTGGTCTGGGATTACTCAAGACGTAACTTGCATTGATTTTAGTGTTTGCGTCAAGCATCGCTTTAATTCATGCGGACTTTTTTTATGTAAATGACAGTTTCTGTCTTGTTTGAGCCACCGACGTAGACAAAAACCCATGCACACCAATGTGTCCCGAGTAACTGCGCTACTTACCCAGTAGGAAGCCAATGACGCTGTCCTATGTATTTTGTTCTTGGGTTTCAAAGGTCAAGTTTGACGTGAAGAAAGAGTTATTTTGGCTTCGTGCCTGACAACACCCATCTAACCAGTCTGATTGCATTCAGTGAGAGCATTTATCTGTCATACACGTTACACTGAAAATTGGTGTTTCTGCAGGTTCTTCCCAGATAGACCGCCTCCCTACGACCTTCCTCCTGGCTAGTTGAAAAGCTCTCGTATCCTTTAATCTGAACAACTACTCGGAAGTAGGAGCTATGAAAGATAACGTCTCCGAGTGACAGCCTGCTGTTTCGTTTCTGTTTAAAGAAGGCGCGAACTCCCCTCTGTAAGAGGCACGTGGCGCTGCGGCCACTGTGAGGTCATGACTTCGAACTTTCAAATTTCCATAAGCCAATATGCTCGCCACTGGCTTTAAAGAACCGTTTCAACTGCTCCAAGTTTCTGCTGCATCACAAGCTACCGCCCCCCTGCTCTGCAATCGGAGACTAGACGCTCGTCTTGGTTCGCAAACATGATAACGGAACCTTTTTGGGCAGCTTTTCAAAGGTTAATCCCGCTTACTTTTCCGTTCGGAGGTGGAATACATGGTCTAACGACCTGATGAAATTCTAGTTCATTGTCGCCAGCAAGGGAAACAGCTATTACTGGTGAGGTTTCCCGTTTTTGACACAACGTATTAATTGGCGTCTCCGTCGTTATAGGTTATTAGCTTACTGTGGCCACGCTTTATAACGACAACTCCCCATGACTTCGGCTGTGGTCTTCGGCGTCGTAGTTCTCTTCCGAGTATTTGTAAGACGATGGCGGTAGATAATGCCCCGTGGAAGTCGTGTTCACCGCACCGACAGCACAGAAGAAACGTGAGGGAAGCACCTCCTTCTATTTGTAACTCCCGTTCTTGTCCAATGCATCTGCAGCGCAACCCGTTTGGGGGTAGGATAGTTGCGCAGTCAATGGTGGACAGCATTTTCTGGAAGACATTTATGAGGCGATCAACAACGTAGTCATGGTTCGAAACCAGCCAGATTTATCCGAGTGTCCCCCATACCGCTCGGCGTATCTGCCCAGTATCACCAGTGTCCCTCGTACTCGTATAGTGCTGTGGTTGAAATCGTGGCTGTCGTATAGTTACAGTGGACTAATGCGGAAACAATTGGCATAACTTCACCGTCACAGTCCTCTCAAGTTTTGGCTTATGATGAAGTTGCTGCATACTATCTAATAGTTGAATTCCTCTTTTTGCTAAATATTTTTAGACTTATATCTGTTGTGACTAGAGTGGGAAGTCAAAATCTCGACATTGGAATTCGTACGCTGTTCATTTTTGTAAACAGAGGGCACCCGAGCATTATACATTTTCTTCAGATCGAGGGAGTTCGGGACATCTTGGCTAAGCTGACTAAGCATTTCGCTGAATCAAGGCATATGGACGCGGAGCTTTTTCTCCAAGCTTGGGTCGAGGTGTGTGTTTGGATCAACCCCTGCTTTTTACTCGTCTTTACACCTCTCAGAATCTGCCTATTGACCCAACAGCGGCCTATCTAACGCCTCCGCAGGTGGTGGATAGTAGAATAGTCATCATTAAGTGATGGCTAAGAAATAACCAGACTCTGAGGTTTGACGAATAAACGGTCATAGACAATGAAGAAGGAGACACGATCGCCGGGACAAGAGCTTTATTAGCCTGACGTTTCGGATACCTACTCGAATCCATCATCAGAGACAAAGAAGCAGAAACGGGTGGTTGTTGCACAAGGGGCTGCGGTATTTACAGGATGCAGTCATAGACAATGTAGTTGTGTTACTTTCAGCCATGATTGAACACCGGTGTAGGATGCCAGTTGCCTAGAATGGTCGCAAACTAAAGTGGTATTACGGTGTAACTAATGATTCACACCTGGCATTTGCGGAATATTGTCCCACCCATAGACCGGTAAAGCGGTCAACCTCGCCCGTACCGTACCTCTGTGAATATGCACGATCATTTGTGTCAGGAGCCGGCAAAGTCAGCTCTCGAGCTAACCGCAATAGGTGGCAGTAAGTAATCCTCTCATCGACGGACAATGTGAAAGCTCAAGAACCTTGCCTCACAGTGCAGTTTGTGAGACAGGTAAACAAGTGTTTGGATGCAAAAACCAAAGGAGATAATTTATAGAGTATTTCCTGTTCATCGTCCTTAGAACTGCTCAGTACAGAAAACAACATGGCATGTTTCTGACTGTGCCTTTTAGTCGAATGCAGTCGATGCGGGACGGGCAGAAGTTCCTAAAGTCGAGGGAAATGTCAACTACACGCCAGCCACGAACTCGCCTGTTAGCACTCAAATGAGTCGATTAGTTCGTTGGGTTCTGAAGTCTAACAACTGCTTAACAATGAAATTAAACTGCCTTCTTTCCAAGCGCGTGCAGTTAGGCGCCTCGAACGGTTAATGGGGTAACTTACATCATAAATTAGCCATTCATTCTGATTGGGACTTCTGGACGCCTCGTCTGCGCGCTCTGGACCCTAAGAACATGAAAATGTTCATGTTATGACTGTGTTGGAAGTTCGACTTAAAATTATTAATCTTGCTATTGTGGAAAAACCCACTGTTGCAATTTGACGCGAGCGTCATCCTTTGGATTTTACCTTTCCAGCTTGCTGCTTAGAGAGCAGACAAGATGCTAGACCTTTCCCAGTACTTTAATGACAAGGAGTAGGGAAGTAGGTAAGACTTGATTATTGATCGAGGACAAGGTTCTCCTAGGAGATTTTCTCCTTCCCTGTTGTGGTACGATCTGAAACATAGTTGCTCTGAAACAACCGGCAGCCTGACCTGCTTCTCGTAAGGTAGACTGTGCCATGAAGGTCGGTCTGGTTTCTCAGCCCTGAGTACTTGTGCCGTCAGCGCACTGTCTCCCTCGAAGCTACGTCTAGTGAGTCTTTAATGTGGGCGAAAAAAGACCAACCAAAATCCTATTGTGGTTAATCTGTATATCCGATGGCACAGTCCGCCTGACACACGCAAGATATTTTATTGTAGAGGCATACTACCGACAAAGACAAAGGAGACTGGGATGGCCATTTCTGGCTTATTAGCCGTCGTCAGCCGGCCCTACCATACCTTAGGCTTGGGAGCACTTGAACTCGCGCTTTTTGTTTACCAGTCCAACGTTTTAACCATTGGGCCACGGACTCGTTGTCCTGTCGGTTGCTATCGGGCATATTTCCTATGGTACAGGGCACCCTCTACCAGACTTTATCATAGTGAAAACTCCTGATCCAGTATGTGCCATTGGTCAACCTGTACGTACTGTACCCCCCATGTGCATACAATTTATTACGCCAGAGGACACATTGAACTCCAGGAAAGTAGTTTCTACTACAAGGTCACGTTGCATACTGCTAAATACTACGGTTGAACTAGTGATTTGTTCGTAACTCCCTCTCACGGCTCGGCGTGAATATGCGACTTTGAGCTATCCTTAAAGAGGACGCCTACTGCAGTGATTATTACACCCGTAAAGACCATGCGCATAACCCCATTCAAGCACAACATTAACCGGATCTGCATGAGAGCCGCCCTTATGGTAGTCGAGTGCGTCACTGCAATAGTTCTGCTTTAGCTTTTAAGAAATTACCGACGCCTCAACTTGTTGGTTGTCTTATTTTTTGCAACTTGTCCTACGTTGACGTGTGCCCTCATCTCACCGGCTTTTGTAAGTACTGTTGTGTGTCAGTGTTTAGCAATCATTATGTTTGAATTGTTTCTGGCCTCTAGCAATTTTAAAACGGCAAGGAAACAGAAGTTTGGCCTCTCCTTAATATCTGTATGTTACCGTTGGGTTTTGCGACTGTCGCAGCTTTTTGAACTCACCGTTCGATCCTGCTTTCTTGGCTGCATTTTAGGCTCTGTTTCTACTACAGCCATCTTTTATAAGCAGTAAATGTTTGTTACTGCGTTCATGTTGCTCTTTTATTTGTGTTTGCAGTCTCTTACGATGGACCAGAAATTGCTTTCCTCCCTGTCAGAATCTGCACACCTCGGAAATCTTTTCCCCGCGAACGACGCTTCAGCAAACATTATTTTAAAAGCCAACTCAAGAATACCCAATGTCATGAACTTTGCGGTTCCAAAATTTCAAAATGAGGACTGCAGACAGGTAACTTTTTAAATGAAAAGGTACTTCAATTTGCCGCGCAACACGAAGCCGAATTCCATGATATGGTGCGCTATGATTGTTTTTTTTGTTGTCATTACGACTTCTGCTTCCTAGTAATTCTAATTTTGGGTCATTAATGTCAGAAAAAGGTCTGCCAGACAGGGCAAGAGTTTAAGAAATGTAAGTCTAAGCCCCTAGTTCCAACTTCTACACGGACACTGGGCATTGTTGCGTCTGATCAAAACGGCGTCTAAGTGCATATATGGTGCAGCCAGAGTGGCCGCCTTATGCTACCCAGACACTGCGTTCGATTTCATGCCCACCAGTTTGACCGTTGCGGGCGACGATGTCCACCGCGTGCTCCACGGAGTGGGCACAGCACTGGTAGCTGGCGCGTGATGTAGTTTGAAGTGCGGCAGACTTTCGCAGAACATACCGTACTCTCTCCTCCCTTTGCCCCCCTCCTCCTGTGGCAAGGTAATGTCAAGACGACCGAAGGCAGAGTCAGGCGCAGTGGCTGAACAGCTCGTCTACGTGCTCTACACACCACCTGGTCCCCATAACATGTCTCGGGCTTTCCTGGGGTTGGCTGTGATCTATTATATATGGGTGTCGTAAAGGCCACGTTAAGAAGGAACCGCCGGAACTTGACTCTCAATCCTGGGAAGAACTGAGTTATCCAGTCTCGGCGTTTATACCATAGGCAGACCTCGGCCACTACGACTTTTAGGCCAGGTCCTTAGTAGGAAGAGAAGACGTTAGGCGCTGATGGATAGGCAGTAGAGTGAGTTGGCAGTCGGACATGTGGCACACGCCTTGGACGAGAGCATGAAATTAATTAGCCGGTTTGGATAGCTATGAGTGGTCGGAAACCATACAACTTTTCTTGATTTTAGGGGTAAGCAGACGCGATAGGGGCACCACATGGAGCCATCAGAATTCCAGATAAACAACTTCTGCCGATGCATACATGCAAGTATGCGCGAGAGACGCAGTGTTGCGACAGGGGCCCAGGGTAGAGCCACTTCAATTTCGTCACTTGATAGCCTTTCGAGCTACGGCCGATAGCGATTCGTGATATAGTCCAACGCGTCAGATTTACTACTTCGAAGTATGCGTTGATTGGTTGTGGGGATGGGTTCCCCAGAGTCGACCTCTCACCAATGGACTGTCTGAGCCTGTTAACTTGCTGGAGATGGGATTTGGTGTGCAGTGGTTGACGCGACTTAAGGGCCTACATCCAAGGTGGTGGCAGTCAGGGCTCTCGGGAAATGGAGAACGTAAAATTGATGTAATTGTGTAAGATTTCCTAATTATAGCAAACCCTACACATCTTACGGTATCACTACCTGTTGAATGTTGTAGCCAAACGATGCCAACCGGTAAGACGAACTTATTCAGGTTACAGTAGCTGCAGCGACCATGACCTCATGAAACTCCCATCAATGCGATACAAACCTTTGGGAGGTCTGATTCATGTGGAGTAAGGGGTCAACACGTGCGTGGCACCCACAGGTGCAGACTTGGTGTGAGGTCAGCTACTGCAATCGCTCCAGTCATCTTGGGTCAGCGTTGCCATTCGAACAGGATAACTGCGAGAGGTCAAAGGCAGGTCAACGCTGCGCCAGTCTCCCTCACCTCGCCTCTTGGCATGTTAAATGGGCAAACAATGATGTCGACAAATAAGTGAAGAATGGCCTTTTGGTAGACTTCTAAATCGCTTTAGGATATTTAGCAGGAATCTTCCTTTTTAGTGTATATATTTTCTAAAACTCTGACAGTTTACTTTCGTTGCCGTAGTTTTGACCCTTTATAGCATTAAATGGTCCTCAAGTTGAGACGCTTCCAGTGCTCAGGGGGTTATTGTCAAAGTTGGCGAGTTTTCTATCTACTACCACCAAAATCTACACGTACAGACAGCAGTTAGTTACTTAAAAAATTGCCTTTACGTTTGCCTCATAGATTTATTGTTGGGGGCTCAGCGGGGGGATGGGGAAAGCAGTTGCATGCGCTGAGGACTTAAAATCCGCATGGACTGCCATCACCTCGCATTCCGGCTCATCCCTCTTCCAGTTCTCTCGAATCTTCTCGCACGCAGCAGAAACGACTATAGACGAATTCACGGTGAAATCGGTAAGCTTGTCATTCCCTTCCTCTTCTTCTTCTTATTCCTCTTCTTCTTCTTCTTCTTCTTCTTTCTTCTTTCTTCTTTCTTCTTCTTTCTTCTTCTTCTTCTTCTTCTTCTTCTTCTTCTTTTTCTTCTTCTTCTTCTTCTTCTTCTTCTTCTTCTTCTTCTTCTTCTTCTTCTTCTTCTTCTTTCTTCTTCTTCTTCTTCTTCTTCTTCTTCTTCTTCTTCTTTCTTCTTCTTCTTCTTCTTCTTCTTCTTCTGATCAATTCCATTTTCATTCTTATTTCCACCAGGTTGGAGCAGATGCTTTTAACACTCACGAATCGGAATATATTTGGTGAGGCTCTTTCGCTCTCCTTGTACATGGAGCGTACATGCGTAAACGGCAACATTTACAGATACCAATGAATTTCACGACAGTTTATCAGTTGCAACTTGACGCTGCATAACACAAATGACACAAATGCCCTCCAACCTACTTGTCAAGCCAGGAGGTGGAACAATAACAGACACATAATTTAGGGCATGTTTTCGATGAATTCTTATCAAACCAGTGCGGATATACAGACTACTTACACCTGGGTGGGTAGTTGGATAAAATTTAGTCGGTTGGCCAGGTCCATACAGTTCGGGCAGGCCTTTTCTACTAGCCCCATGTTCTCCTGACAAGGTGTCGTTGTTTACTGCGCACGAAGCTGTGAATTTTTGAATTTTTGATCTCTAATCCAGCCGTTAGGCCATTGAACTTTTAGTTAATTTAGTAGGACAGTTCTGCTGTGAGGTTTTAAATCATCTGGCATGCGTAGGGTTATGTTTACTGTGCTGTAGTTTAACAAAGAACTCGACTTTTGGCCCGTTACAGCTTCTTTTTTTGATGACACTTTCTGTGTGCGATGATTTTAACGTAAGGTGAGTACTAATAGCTGCTCTGAGGCTCACCTTGATGAATGCCACTTTCTTTTATACGCCAAAGGGTAGGATTGGCCCCCTAAACTTGTCACTAAGCGGCCTCTTTCAAAGCCAAATCTAGTAAGAAATTTCGAACTACGTAAGGGATTAAAGTAGGCACAGCAAATCCCAGGAAGTTTGTCCGCGACCTTTCTCACTTTTGGCACTTTTCAAGTTGTACGTGCTTTATTTCACTTTGGTCGAGAATGAGCTTATGCAATTGGGTGAAGTCATCCCGGTAGCGTACCGAGCTTATGCCATCTGTCCAAACACCAACACCAAGCCGAAGCCCTTCCTAATACCGGACATCTGCGCGTCTAGCATGTTTGATAGGACCTAGCACTTCGGCAAATTTACACCTTTTCCTGCATACATCGCTATCTGGCATTTGGAATTATTCCTTCTGTTTCTCCAATGTCAGGAGAAGCCGGCAATCGTTATAATTCTTTCCAAGGATCCGCCATTAGACAGGAGTTTCTCAAACCTGATTCCTCCTCCGGGTTCCGATGCCCAGTCCAGTGAAGTACCTATTCGCAGTCAGCGACAGAGCAAACACCTAAAGAAGAAGCGTCGCAACCAGGACGACCGGGCGCCATCCTCCGCTCCCCACAAAAAGTCCAGATCAGAGAAGGGTAAACAACTCGCAATGGAACCCAAGAGCACCGATGCTCGGACGGAGGAAGCGGAGGAATTGAAAGGCGTTGTCAATTTTTGTCATCGTTTAATGCCGGCTAGCAAGACTTCAAAGGCCGCAGTGGAACTGCGTCTTGGTAGCTGTGATCGCCCGACGTAACAACGCGGACACCTTCATGTACAGTGTACATAGTTTTTTTGCGAGTTGGACATTGGCGGTGACCAGGTACAACTTATGCAAGATGTAGTCACTTGTGCTTTTTTAAATTTCTCTTGGGACGCGTACATTCGTGAAGGCGCTTATCATGTATTCCTCAACGGGCTAGCCACAACCTGCAAGCCAACCACATTTTGATTGCTTTCCTTCCATCACGTTTGGTCCGGATCGGGCTCCCGTCAGCCAAGTCGCAATCGACTAACGCGCAGTCAACAACATATGAATATTCACTGAGATTGGCTGGGTATTACGCCTTCAAACACAATGGTTTAATGTTCAGACATGGTTATGTTTAGTTGAACCTATGCAGTTGCATGACGCTGCCACAAGGGGTTCGACCCATCGATAGGTCCTCCAGCTTACCCCGTATTGCGGTTGAACGGGACGATTCCGGTATCCATGCCTTGCTCCTAACCTAAAGTACCCTTTTCTGGTGACAAATTGCGAATATTACGCAGCTGTTCGAGCGAAACAGGTTAAATCCGGTCCAAATATTCATGTAAATGTTCGAGCTTGGACCGAGAAGATTGGCTCTGAGAACTTTACTCCAAATTCACACATTAATTACCGAATAAATTAAGAAGTCTAAAATTGAAAAACTTAAGTGCTTTTACGCCAGAAACCGTGCGAGACTGCGGGGGACCAACTGGTGTGCGGCATGCAGCGACACAAAATCGCGGAACGCCTGTCTGGTCATTTAAGTAGTGCCCATGCTTGGGGTATGGTAAACCAATTAGTATTTATGTACTGCCGACCGCCTCTAGGCTAAATGTGAATATTACTCAGTTATCCCGCCGAAGCTGATAGATTTCAGCTCAAATATTCGTGTGGCCTTGTGAACCGAACCTGAGAAGTTTATTGCCAAACATTTACGTCCGGAGTTCACAAATTAATTTTGGAGGAAGTTAAAATGCTAAAATTAGATTCCAGAGTACGGGGAAGACTGGGGGACCCACTTATGAGCCGAACATCTTACAGCCGCGCCGTGCAACAGTACAAGAAGTGGCGAAACGCGTGTGCGGGCTTTTAGCTAGCACCCGTACTGTTGGTGTGCCAACTCAATCTCGGCGTATCTTTGTTCTACATATTTCATGGCGCAGCTAACCTGTGGCGCAAGTGACCGATCAGCAAGTAAACCTAGGCTCAAATCTCAGGCTGTTTCGCCCTGCGGTCCATTATATTCAATGCGGTTAATGATGGGCAATGCCCTTGAAAACCCGATTCTCATATCCGTGGACTATAAGAGGGCTGCACATAAATGATGGACAGATGATTACTATGGGAATTTCGTTGACATTGGCCAGCATTTTGTTTACATACTAATCAAGACAGAAATGGGATATGTCTATTGTATTTGGTTCTGGTCCGATTTGTGTAGGGAAAATAAGAAATACATAATCATCCAGGTGCTTTTCGGAGATCTGCGATGACGATACCTCCGACACTTTCATGATTATTTCATATTTCGGCTGTGCGTTATGTTAAGAAGCCGGATCTAACATTTTGCTCGAAAATGTTAATGCACGGTTTCGTCAATTGCACACGGAGGCGAGGCGAAGGTGGCACTTAACAGTGCAATTAAAATAAACCTTTTTCGAGATCATGTCTCATAAACCAGAACAAGGGCAAATGTTAGGACACTTTAGTCTTCTTGCGCAAGATCCGTGTTTTGTAACCTACTAGTTTGGTCCCTCAGCACTGCACTTTCCGAAAATTTTAATACCCTTACCGGGCGATGGCTTATACTCTTGCATGCTACACTCAAGTAAGGACAGGGTGCTGCAAAATCTACCGAAAAGCTCTTAGTCGAGAACATCCATGCGATAGCATGTAGTACTCCTTGAAGAAGGAGACACGAGCGCTGGGACATAAGCTTTATTAGCCTGACGTTTCGGATTTTTACTCGATACCATCATCAGAGACAAAAGCCGATAAGGGCGGTTCATGCACAAGGGACTGCAGTATTTATAGGATGCAGTTGCCATGCTAACGCATAACTATGACTATCCATGGCTCCTCCCACCATCAGGGATCGTTGCACTTGGTGTGCTGACTGTTCGATGGCCGACATTCGCGTCGTTAATTCCTGCAATTTCATCACGTGCGTTGGATTTTGCTGTGATGATTGCTCGACCATCTGACGCACCGACCCTGGCGTTGGGAAAAATGTTCACCTGTGCGTTCCCGCGTGGCTAATTAATGTAGTACTTAAACGACATATTTAACAGGCTTGTTGCACTGGAGCGAGGAGCTCACGCCCCTCTCGATTCAAACATTACGCCCTCGGATGGCCGGTTGAGTCCCCTCCTACGTTATTGACTGGACAATAGTAAGTTAGATGCAGGCGGAGAACGTCGCATTCCTTTTTCTATTTAAATCAAGCAGCCACCGCTGGGACATGACCGGCTGATGTTGGCAAGCAGGCCAAAAATGGTCATTCCATTGGCTCTCGTCCTTACCAATATTCGTTCTGCACTACCGTAACCTGATCCCTTAGGAGCCTCTGTCGAAGTCTGATGGGTCGATAACGTGAGATTTCCCAAATCAAATGGCAGGGAAGACAGAATCTGCTGAAAAACGTTTACTGAAGTTGGCAGTGGCGGAAAGTGTCCCGACCAGCCAGTTGGATGTCGTTTAGGTCGCGAACTCCTACGCGAGGTAAACGCGTGCACCTGGTCTCCGTCCGCCTTCAGTAAATCAGCGAATGGTACAGATTCAATTGACACCAACCTCTCGCCATACCTGTACCAAGTCATACGCGGCTCAACAAATCTATTGACAGAGGAGGGGATGCTAGACGGACTGCAGGCGGCATGAAATGGCAACGCAGCGACCACGGAAGCAGACTGTCACAAGGGAGATAAACGGGAAGAATAAACTCGCGACCACAAAGACTGATTATGCGAGAGTAGCATGCTCGGCAAGCGACTGTTGTCCGTGGGTGTCGAATGAGGCTGGAGGCCGACGAGCGTTACAGATTCTTACAGCTCCCGCGGGGAAGTACGTCAATGAAGAACATAATGAACATAAGGTCTCATGCTCTCTGCCATGCTGATGGACGCCTACCGTGACGAACGCCCCGGAATCCGCACCGCCCATATGACGGACGGGAACTCTACAACCACCGGCGGATGCACTTCCAGTCACGTGTATCCACAATCACCGTCCACGAACTTCTTTTCGCCGACGACTGTACACTCAACGCCACCTCTCTTTGCCGCCGCCTGCAACAACTTCTGCCTGGTGATTAACACGGAGAAGACGGTGATTATGCATCATCTGCCACCTGACGCTGCCTACAGCACATCCCAAATCAACGTGAACGGAACCCAACTGCAATTGGTGGACAGCTTCACGTATCTGGGCAGCAACCCTTCCCGCAGCACGAAAATCGACGACGAAGTGACACTTCGGATCTCCAAAGTCAGCCAAGCCTTCGGCCGTCCGCAAAACCGTCTGGAAAGATCACGTTCTCCATCACAACACCAAACTGAAGAGGTACAGGGCAGTCATCCTGCTGACGTTGCGGTATGGAGCGAAGATCTGGACGGCGTACAAGAAGCAGGTGCGAAGACTCAATCATTTCCAGCCCAGCTGTCTTCGATGGATACTAAAGCTGAGGTGGCAGGAACGAGTCCTGGACACGGATGTACTGAATCGGACGGTAATTCCCTGCATCTAAATTATGCTGGACCAGCTGCAACTGCGTTGGAGCGGCCAACTCATGATGGTGGATGATGATCAGCTACCTCAACGACACTTTTATGGAGATGTCGCCACGAGTTCCCGCCGACAAGGAGGCCAAGTCGGTCGAAACAAGGACACTGAATACTTTCCTGAAACGTCTGCAGATCAACCGGTCAACTAAGAAGACCTCGCTCGAGACTGACTGACCTGGAGGAGGACAGTGAAGACAGGTGCAGCGATCTATGAGGCTATCCTCATTACCGCCGCCAAACGCGAGGCTCGCAAGTCTCATTTGCGTTCGCTCCGCACGTCAACGCTTAACCGCACCCCACCTGCCCATGCTACCAGTTAACTCTCCGGGCACCACTCGGCCTTATAGGACATCTTTTTACGCACTGCAACACCCGGACTACACCAGCCGCTGTCTCACCCCACTCGCCACTTTTGCCTCATACATCGGCGTGGTCGGTCACTTGCGAATTCGTCGCACAGAGACTGGCGAACCAGTGCCTGGAGCACCAACCTACACTCGCCTCATTCGCTTCCACTATCCACATTGCTTCCGCACATTCACTCATCGCATCGGTCTATTCGGTCACATGCGTATCAACGAGGGCGGAGTTGGACTCAGCCTCGAAAGACCTAGCACCTCCTGCACATCCACCATGCCTAGCTCAACCCAAACCCCGCTGCCAAGCACGCCCACCACCATCAGCTCCACCACACTCAGCACATTCTGCGCATGCACCATGCCTAACGCAACGCACATCCCGTCACCCAGCGCGTCCAACAGCTCTTCAACTGCGAAACTGACACTGATACCGCCGACGTTTCTTGTTCTCACTGTCCCCATACATTTACCGTACACACTGGCCTTTTCAATCATTTGTGAATCCATCGTACAGAGACTGGCGAACTAGTGCCCGGAGCACCAACATACACCAGACTCACTCGCCCCAATTGCTCTCACTGCACCCGCGCATTCACCCACCGCATGGGCCTATTAGGCTGCATGTGCATTCACGAAAACCTGTGGTAGACAACTGCCGGCTAAACCACACCATCACATCTTCCTCGACTTAACATCATCATCTAGCACAAGCAGCCAACAGCCACCTCCAACGCAAGTGGGAAGTGTGTGTCTGGGCTGCGTATCCGTGCGGCCCCTACTACATGTGTAATTCGAGTCAGAGGTTGTCACGACGCATGAAGCACCGTGGCTTGGAATGGTGTTGGCCGACACTCCAACTCAGCCC